TTGTTGCATTTCATCTGGGCTTTCGGGTCACCGAGGAAGAACTTTTTGCTCTTCACAGTGGATATGTGAAGCTTCGTGGAAGCTAATCGCCGTTAAGCAGGGGTTTTTGAAAGTTAATTACAATTAAATTTAACGAAATTTATCAAATTACTCCTAAGAGATGAACAATTTAACACTTTACCCATATCCTTTGATTTGATTTCAACATACCCATAAAAGAACGCATGGTCTTGAGTCGGAATAGTTGCAATTGATCAAAATGTTAAATAATTCATCCTTTATGGATTTTTCCCTTATTGGTATTTTAATAAATTTCCCTCAAATTTGTATTTATGAAAGTTGGTCTCAGATAACAGTGATAAAAGATAAGTAGTTTATCAAAATTACTTAACTTATCAACTATTTAACATTTTATCGTTTTTTCAGCCATGCTTTATCTTTTTTACAGCCATGCTAACTCATTATTGTGTGTGTTTTGATTAGATTTTTTTAAATTAAATAAAACAATAAGAAAATATTAAGAAAATGTATACAATGAAACCATTTACTTTTAATACAAAGAGGTCACAATCACTATTGACTGTTAGATTTGGAATATGGTGGTTGAGGATGTGTTATTGTTTTGGTACATAACGCAAAATAAAAATTCTTGAATGTTGTTAGATGTTGGGCCGTCTTGATTCTTTTAGGACTCATCCAAATCCCTGCGAGTTAGATGCCGGATACGCCTTTTTGAACTAATAACATTGTACAAAAAAAAAGAATGAAAAATAAAGGAGTAAGGAAAAGAAAAGTCATATGGACTGGCTAAATCACGTTTAATTACCAAAACAAACACACTTCTGTGTACATAATCAAATTATTACATGAGGATAAAGTGCAATAAGTAACTTTTAATGGAACTACTCTTTCAAAACATTGAATTGACAGCACATTGGTTATCCAATGCAGACAGTCATCTACACCTACCATAACCATTATTTCCATTATGCATGTGGCAAAGTCACCATTAAAATTTATAGACTTAATTCAAAACTATGCCCTCATCTCTCAAAAGCCAAAATAATGTATTTGCACTATATAGCCTAATCAATAGTGATGTTATTGTGTACTGATTTTGTCTCAAACCTAATCAATAATAAAGGATTGTATACTGTAGATTTCTTTACCTTTGGTATAGGAATGTCACAAGCACCGTAGCTGAAAGATGTGAAGTTGGCTGTATAAAATTCGAGAAAAATGTTCTCAGATTTTGAGTGGGGCTAGTAAATACACATTATTAGGGGTGATATGATCTTTTTATACAAAAAATCATCATCAAAGCTTTTCGCCAATTAATTGCGGCCAGCTACACGAAGTTTTAGCAAAATTTTATGTTAGTTCCCTACCTAATACACATCCTTTTTACCCGGGCTTGAGATATACAAAAAATAAACCATCTTATTGTGTGATTTCATAAAGATTAATCGTATTTCCCCCCAATTATATATATATATATATATATAAAAGACAACTATCATTAAAAAGTATTCCCTATCCTAAAATAAAGAAAGGGGCAATGTTTATTTTTCTACTCTTATCAAGAGATGTGTATTCATACATATGCATATCCATATCCACACATTAACATATTTTATTTAAATTTGGATAAAAATTAAGTCAAAGTAGAAAATTTCAAAATACCGATGTACATAAAAGAGCACCTCCTAAAAGTTATCCCAAAATTCAAACTTTGTTTCATAAAATTAATTTTGAATAAAATTTTAAAGAGACCATTTAAATAAGGAAATAGTTTATATAAGGTTGCAACTTTAAATGTAGAATTAAAGGTAAACCTTATAAAATATTGTTTGAATGTTGGAAAACCCTCTAATTGATCATCTCGATGTCAAGATGAATAAATATGAAGAGAAAAACATATTTCGACTCCATGAAATAGTATATCTTGTAACACATTATCTGAGCTGTCTATTTTTTAAGATTTTCATATATTTATAGATTTACTTGATTTGAACTATATTTAGAGTTTAAAGTTTTATAATTAGAGGTGAAAATAGATTCTCAAGCCATCCAAATTTTTTTTGGTATCAAAGTTGCATTTATGATAAAATTTGGAGGTGCACCTTAATTGGATTGTTTAAAGTTGCAACCTTATACAAACCACACCTTTTAAATTATATTCTACCTTCGAAAATAATAAAAAACAAAAACTGGCAAAACCATTTCGTAGATGTACATGGCATTGCCGAATATCAAAGCGCAACATTTGGGCCATTGCTCTCTTTTCTCTCTCTCACTCTCTCTCTCTCTCTTTCTAAATGAAGGACCACACATCATTACAACTTATAATAATATTTTTGATCTCTAATTATAAAATTTAAAGCTTAAAAAATAATGTAGATCGAGTAGATATATGAAAACTTGAAAATTTTTAAAATTGTCAGTCCAAAATACATTACAAGATGCACTATTTTCAAAAGTTGAAATCAATTTTTTTTCTCATGTCGATGCATCTTGAGGTCGAGATACTCAAATTGAAGATATTTTGACATCAAAACAAACTCCTCTAGTGAAAATTTTGAGGTGAGCCCTAATTTGGTTGTGTAGAGCTTCGTACTTATATAAAATTTTTCTTTTATGTTTTATACTTAAGTTCCACTATTTAATGAATATAGTAGTTTAATTTTACTATTTTTTTTATATATGTGATTAAGCTCAAATTTTGAGCATTTATACTTCTTATTATAATGCACTTATAAATAATATTAAAATTTTTAACCGATTTAACTAAAAATAACCAAAATACCCCATACAACATTGGTATTTTGGTTATTTTATTTATTCTATAAATATTTTTACGTCTTCTAACCAATGTGAAGATGGTAAGAAGTATCGACTTCCCAATTTTAATCTTAATTCAATATATAGGAAAGAAAATATAATTAAAATGTAATATTCATTATAACAATGTATGACTTATGTAAAATATAAAGGGTGTGGTTTCGATGTAAAATATAAAGGGTGTGGTTTCGATAAAGTTGCAACTAAGGTGCACTTTCAAACTTTACCATGAGATGCAATTTTGGTGTAAAAAATTGTGTCAAAATCTATTTTTATATTTAATTATAAAATTATAAATTTAGAAAAGGCTCAAATCAAGTATATCTATAAATATATAAAAATATTGAAAATAGATGGTCCAAATAATGTATTACAAGATGTATTATTTTTAACTATGCAGTTTGATTCGAATTGATTAATTAGATGTTTTTCCAACATCAAAATAGCCTTTTTCTAAGGATTTTAGAGGTGCACTTTAATTCTACATTTTAACGTTTCAACTTTATATAATTTCTTTTCAAATATAAAATAGAAAAGCATACAAATAAACCATTTCCTTTTCATACAGAGATCATAATTACTCTTGTTCATTAGATTTTAAATAAGGCAGTTGTAAGAGTGTCATCAAATAGATTTAAAGTTCAAAAAAGTTATTTCAAACTTCATGTAACATTTCAAGCCATCCAATTTTACATCTAATGACTAGGAGTAATTGTGATCTCCTTGTAACAAAGATAAATAGTCTTACAGTATACAATCTTTTTTGAAATGGGTATAGTATAC